TCCATAGCTTTTAGAAAAGGGGAAGTAATAGCAATGGGTCTGAATTTAAAACATGTCGCAGTAGACGACTAAGGAATAGGTACAATTTTAATGTCCTTCCAAGCGGCTGGCACGACATTTTTGGAAAAAGAATCATTAAATATGTCCATGAGGGGATAACACAGGATATCTTCACATTTTTTAATAATAACACTAGGCAAACCATCTGGACCCAGGCTACAAGAAGGGTTCATAGACTGGAGACATTTTAGAACGTCATTTGTAGTAAATCCAGGGAAGCAGGTTTCATTATTACTTGTAACACTAGAAAGTTTGGCATTCGTGGGAGAATGTATGAAGGACTTGTTTAGTTTGGAAACATCAAGGGGAAAAGGAATACTGTTCATCTGCTTACCACCAGTAATTTCTTTGAAAAGTTTCCATATGTTAGACGCATTTTTACAGGATGTGAACTTTTGGTTGTAAATTGAATTCACTCTGTGCATTTCGGACTTTATTATAATGTTAATTCTTTTCAAACCAGCATTATCCTTCATTTTATATAACTTTTCTTTCTGTCTGCGAAGCTTTTTAAGTTGAGGAGAGGAGAAAAGGTCAAATCTGATGAAGAGCGTTTCTCTGGGACGACAGGTGTCAAGACAAAATTTGAGATAACTTGTAATATTAGAGATTGTGTCATCAAGAGAGTCTTCTTTAAACAGGTCTCACCTTGTATCTTTGAGCATGCTTCTGAGGTTCTGAACATTCTCCATAGAGTAACATCCATGTACAGTTTTCTTGGAAAGGTGTGAAAAAGTTCTCTTGTGTAATTTTCCATAAACTTTAGGTAAAACCTGTACAATACAATGATCTGAGTTAAACAGTGGAGCTCTTTTACGAGCTTCGTATATTCCGGAGTCATTGATAAATACAAGATCAAGGGAATTGTCCAGTCTGGTGGGAAAGTTAGAGACATATTCATGACCTATCACTGTGAGAAAGCTGCAGTCACATGAATTGAAATCACCTGTTACTATTGACAGGGAGTTACCAAAAGAGGCGGCAGCGAAAATATTGAATTCATCAGCAAGCATAGATAATTCTGAAGTGCTACAACAAGGTGTGATATAAATATTCGTGATATAAATGAATTTGTATTTAGATAGGTGTTTAGGTGGACATTTGACAGTTATACAGTCAATATTATCATTTGAGAATTTAAAACAGACGTTGGCAACAGACCAATGAGAATTGATGAAAGTAGCAACGCCGCCGCCTCGCTTCTTCCTTGAACTACTTCGGTCTTGTCTGTACATACTGAAACCATTTAGTAAGATTAAATTATCATCATATGAGTCGTGTAGCCAAGTTTCTTGAAGCGTTATCACACCTGTATTACGATAAATATTTGAATATAATGGAGAATCCAAGTGATTAATCTTGTTCGATAATGACCTGCAATTAGTGCTCATAATCACAGGAACAGTCATCTGATGCATTGGAGTACACTTTAAGGATCTTTGCCACCCACCATGATGCTTTTTCTTAAGGTTATTATATACTCGTAAATTATCCGGTTGAAAACATTTTAAATAATCGCGAGAGTAAGTAACACGTTTTGGACACATAATTGGATAATTAAAACAAAATAAATCCAAGAAATCAGATGCAATATAAGCGACGGAAAATTTTGGTAGCCCAAGTTTTAAGCAGGCCGCCAGCAGTGTATTGTATTCTGTTGCCAATGCTGAAATGAAATGTGGGAATATATGAGAATAATATTCCGTTGTCACACACTGTCTGCAGCACGCCACTACGATACTTTATCCACAGTTGCGAGGAATTATATAAATCCACAATTCCCGTTGATTTTACTCAACGGTGGTAGGAGTCAACTAAGTAATGTATCGAAAGTATAAGTATAATCTCCATGATCACTGCGACACTTCACAGAATACATCAAAACCATAGAATGATCAAATCACACATGAAATGTAATTAACTAAGTCCTCAAGGCTAACAAGCTGTAACATACATCTGGATATTCATCTGCATGTTGATCATGCTGACGAATCTTAATCACTAACTATGCGGCGCTAGTTAACCACGATATCTGAAAATAATGAAAATATACTGACAGTTGCATTTTGAATCTCACTGACTCATTCGATGGTGGTATTCTGCTCCTGCAAGCTTCATTCATCATTGCGTGTGGAATAATTCGCAGTCATTCTGGTTCCTGACCGAAATGAATTAGAAAATCCGCCGACTGCTGATAATGGTCGTTCATTAATACTTCTTTACACGTTTAACTGAATACAAACTGCTGTGGTAATCCTCTTGAAGATGATATTGCTGAAATCATTATTGTCGGTAAACTAACTAACATTATACAGGCCATTTATATACTTTTGTGGATAGCTCATCATGTCGACCACATGTAACGCAGCCTTCAGCTGCTGCGAGCAGTTCGACAAATTCAAACAATAATTGTGCAAGGATTATATCATGTAAGTTGTTTTTAACTATGTAAAGTGTGGTGGCTGACATTATCCCATTACCTTTCCTTGTATATATATCCTGTGTAAGTGAATTGTATATATGCTCACTCCACGTACATATTAATAATCATGTTGATGATGCTTGCGAACTGGCGTCCATCATGTACATAATGTGAAAATAAATTAATATTATTAATGTATGAGATTTTAAGGGAATGGGCCGTTTGGGCGCAGTCCTTGTGTCACCGCGTGATTGTCCAGCCTTCACTTAAAGTTTTCCATGGACCATCCGGTAGCTACATCTGCTGGCAAGGAGTTCCAGGGACGACAAACATGCGGTGAAAAAAAGGGGAGCCCCCATTCCGTGTCCTCTGTCGAGCTGTTCTTCGTTGAACCTCACGATGAATCCAACAGGTACTCAAGGGGAAATCGCCTTTGTTTGGGTGATCCTGGCAATTTTTAATCCTTTAGGCAGTAATCAAGTCTCCCATAAGCTGGACTGCAGTGAGAACTAATTTCCTTAGCCACTCATCAAAGAGCTTTTCCTTGAGACCCATTACTCTTTTTGTCGCCCGTCTTTGGACCCTTTTCAAAAGGTTCGCGTCCCTTCTAAGCAGTGGAGGTGCAATGATATTGTGCACTTCAAGGTGTGGTCTGACGTAAGTCTTGTACAACCTTGGAAGGAGCTCAGGAGTGAGTGCACCTAACTGTCTATGTGTAAAGATTATGACCGCATATGCTCTTGCTACGTCCCGGGTGCAATTCACGCTTGTGTCTATCTTTTCCCCTAGAAATGGACCTAAGTCATTCTCTGACGTTGTGCGGGACAAGCTTTCGTTACACAGAGTAAAACTTGCATTCTGCGGCCTATATGTGCGTAATTTCATTACTTTGCACTTTTTAAGATTGAAAATCATACTATTTGCCACCGCCTAGTATTCCAGAAGCTTTAGGTCTTCCTACAGCCTACAGCCTTCTGGGCACTTTTTTGCTATTCAAATCCTTACTTCATCAGCGTAAAGGAGAGCCAGGTAGCTTAGACGCCTTGGTAGACCACAGACAAAATTCAGAAAGATTGACAGACCTAGGATAGACCCCTGCGATACTCCTGATGATGAGCTGTGCCAGGATGATCGGATAAGATTTACCTGAGTGGAGGATTTAATTTCGTCTATGTAGTCCTCCAACTACTACAGAATCAGACTACCTATACCTGCCTGACTTATATCTTGTACGAAAATGTCACGGTGAATTGTGTCAAACGCCCTCTCAAAGTCCCGGAAAACCATATGCATTAGAATACTCGTATCCCACCATGATGTCCAATGGTCCTAAGCTGACAAGATGTTTGCTATGCAGGATCTGTCTTTCCTAAAACCGTGTTGGGCTTCATGGAGTCTATTAGTCCTATTGAGGTGTTCCCTGATACGGTTATACTACTAAAAGTGAAGCTACTGACCAATAACTAGTGGGATTTTGCCTGTCCCCACGCTTGAAGATAGGAGAAAGGATGCCTCTTTCTTACTCTGTTGGCAGTTTACCTGCACCCATTGGAACAGGTCACATTGGGGCCTACAGAGAGCTTCCGCGCACTGACTCAGAGCAGATCATCTGATGTTATCACAACCTTTGGACTTTCCAGATGTGAGCCTCTGTAACTTCCCTAGGACTATTGCCAGTTTTATATGGAGAGTAACCACTAGGTCTTCCTAATATAAAATAGTAGTGGCGTATATTTCTGTTTTGCATTCAGTCCTCAGTATGTAGGCAGCATTATGTATGCTATACACGAATCACGTAGCAAATTTCATTCAAACCTAGTATTTAAGTACTGATTAGACAACAGGCTCATTGGAAGGGAGGAAACGTGTAACCAGCTCTCACCCCAAGCTGTATTCATAATATGTTCGATCATGCGGACGATTTCGTTAATTATTTCGTTTGGACCCACGCAGATTCCACCAAAAGTTTCTGGAGTCACTTAAAAGGGGAAGATCAAAGTGGTGAATGAGTCAAGAAACATGATTTACAGTACTTTACATAACAATGGGGCCCTCTATGAGAAGTCAAGAGATTCCCTTGAAACACGTATACGTACTCTAACTTGTGTAACCACTTTCTAATATTGCACTGGTCTTCTATAGCTTAGAGTCACCAAGAAATCCATTTGGCTTATACTAGCTCATGAAAAGAATATTTGATGACGCCCTTCATAGAAGACCATGGCGGCAAGTGCAATCTAGAGCGATGTTAGGACAGGAAGTTCTTGTTTTCGATAAATGTTTTGATCGGCTAAAACTGCTTCAAGTCACGATTTCGATGTCATAGACGCACGAATTTAAGGGGTTCAACGCCAGTGCTTCTGTTAAAGGTATTATAAGGTCGATGTTTCCTACTGTAGATCAGACTTAATATATATGATTAAGATATGGGTTGGTATTGTGATTCTGGAGTGGATTGGTGTTTTTAAATGAAGCTGGGACACTTTACTTCGCTGTCGCCGTTATTTTAAACAAAAATATGCAGTTATGTGGTTTTGCTGGCCCATGGTTAGTCACTTGTTCGCGGTATGCTATGCCATGGTTTAACTTATTAACCGACTGTAACATTGCTCATGTGACTTAAGGAATTTGTATTTGATGTCTACTGCCTCAGCGTATTAGGGATATGAGTTCCTTCAAGGTTGCAAATACGTCTTGCTGACGAGTGCCAACTAGCACAAAACTTAGGACCAGGGCTCGCTGCCGATTGCCTCCAACCATCTAATATCATCAAGTCAGTGTGCACCGTGATGGCGAGCCACCTAGAAGGGTGGCCACATTGCAAGCCTGACTGATATAATTCAGTCTGCGCCAAAGAAAGGACTAGACGTATTACACTAGTTACTTGTTTCCAATCAAACTATAATAGGCGTGTGCAAATATGTTCATGACCCACTATGATGTATCGTTTCGCAACACTAAAATAAACAGTTGTTTCACTCCATAATAGGCAGTTCTTAGAGATTATTACGGAAAGAACTAAATTGTCACAAGTAGTTTTCCTCACCGAAAATTTATTGATCTTACAATGCCCTTATATGTATGCTGATAAACGGCAAAGAGGAAGATGTCTCCCATGCCTCTTATGTTACATTCACATTCTTGTGTCTGTCGCAATGAAACATCTATTTTATGGGGCTGATGACACTGTTTTGCTTTTGAACTTCGACACGACAGTTGCTTTTGAACACAGGATAAGGTAGCCCAAATATAAATGTAGCCTCTGGTCTGTGGACCAATTTTCCTTACCTCACATTAGTGGTATTCCTAAAAGATTTATTTTTATGCCCGCAACAGGTGGTTTTCCCGAAGAGATATTGAATGAAATACACTCACAAAATATTGTAGTTACGTAAATTAGATCACACAGACACATGTGGTGACTCACTTTTTCTGGCGCTGAAGATGTTGTCCATAAGGACGACGAAAGCTTCGCGACTAAACCAACCAGCTCAGAGAACACTATTAATTGCAAAAGTCTGTTCTTATGCTAATCAGTTTTTGGTTTGTACATCTTCCCACACGTAATTAGCCTTACATTTTCCCTCAGTAATTTTGTTGCATGTCAGTCATATTGACTCTTTTTCTTGGATTTACTGGTAATTTATTTTCAGCAGTTAGCTGAAAATATAATGAGACTAGGGGTCATTTTTTATTTTTTTGCTCTAATTCAGTGATACTTTCCTCCCTCATTGAAATGTTGGTAGTATCGTTCGAATGTATATGACATTGTCATGTTTCTTCAGATATATCTGCTCAATTTCTATTGTTTCCATTCCAGACTTTTGGGTTGTTTTAGTGTTGCACTACCGCTGAATTTCCCAATACATTTTATATGTACAGTGTCTCAGCCTAACAAACTCAATTGTGTTAGTGGCCGAAGAAATATTTCATCATGGATTACTATGAAGATGACTTTCCTACGAAAGAAATAATACAAATGGATGCCCGGGAGACATCCTGCGTAGAGAAGATGAAGATCAACAAATAACTTGTGCTGAGTATCTTAGACAATATGATATTGCTCAGGTAGTTATCCAGTAGTCGTTTTTGACTCAGAATCATCGCTAAGAGACTTTTTTAAAGTTTTGTGTAATAGGTGGTAATCAAAGCCTGATAGGTGGAGGCCTTTAATAGGCTTTGTGTGCCTAACCTGTAGTAGACAACCCGGGTGTTGGTCTTGATACACAATTAAATGAATTTCAAGAGCTTAAATCAACAACCTGTAGTGATTTCAAAACTTTCTTATAATGTTATGCTGGATTACTGATGTGGTTGTATCGAACCAGCAAAGAGATAGTCCATTGTAGAACTTTACACAGAGGTAGATCCTTTTAAACAAACACTGGAACAGCAGATTTGCAGAGTGTTGCAATAAATTTCAGATGAAAGATGACTTGGCATGTGTAACACGTGTTCTGACCGTCTCAATCTATACAAATTCATAGACTTGTTGATTGATTTAAATTGTCTTCCTAATACTTCACGCAGCATTACTTACTTTCTAGTCGCTTATCACATGAGCTATTGAATGAAAGCATCTACAATCAAGAACAACCCTGGTTTCCCCTGTGAAAATTCGCTGCTGTGATTTTCAGCAATATCTTATTTTCAAACATATTTATGGTTTAAAAAGAAGCCAATTCCTAAAATCGCTTCACTGCTAGCCTATTTTTTCCCTAGAAAGTAGTGTTATTCGCATCGCCTATCGAGTAGTAACCTGTGATACGCTTGCTTTTTCGTCACCTTTGACTTATCTGCCACCCTAATGCTTTGTAGTTTGAATGCTAAGACAAAAGCGTAAGAGTATTCCCTTCATATATATATTTAGCAGTCGTCCAAATATCTAATGTGAGTAAGTCTTTTGATTTTGTCATCATAAATCTGCTTAATTTAGGTAGTTATTTTTTTCAAACAGATATGATAAAATGACTGCAGTAGTTGAAGTAATACTGAAAGTTTGAAAGTATAATAGGGGAATTCTATCGTAACTAGTTCCGATTATTTTTCAGCAGCGAAATAATAAATAGTTAGGAGTTTATATTCTTGATTGTATGTTTGCTTTATTAAGGGTAGATGTAAAGACTGGAGTTGTATCGAAAATTATATGTACATTTCATAATTATTCTGTAATCGTATTTTTTTCGTGCATATCTATATTATTGATGCCTCCATGGCTTCAGTTGTTTGTAAATTATATTGTGTCTCGCTTCAATTTGTACGACATTTTTCTTTGAAATTAGCTTGCTCAAATGATGGCACATAGTGCTGAAGAATTTGTGCGTCATGTCTGGCTCAGAGGCTGGCAAGTAGTTAATCATCGTAGTCTTCCTGCATGGTTACGAGACAATGATTTCATTCTTCATTATCACCGTCCTCAGCTGAATACATTTTGGGCTTGTTTCAAGTCGATTTTCAGAGTTCATACAGAAACTGGAAATATCTGGACTCATTTATTAGGTAATTTTTCGACCGAGAATTTATCCGCTTTTGTGTGATCTTTACATCAAGGACTGTTTTGCTCTGTGAGACTTGAAACTTACAGAAATGTTAAGTATTAACAAACAAATGTGCTTATCCTTCGCTAAAGAAAACTACAGGATTTATTTTCTAGATCTTAAATCTCATTTTAGTATTGACTTCAAAATGTCATAATAACGAAATTAAGTAATCACTACTTACATCTCCTCTGCATATATTTGCTTAAAGATTTTATAAATGTCCTAATATAGCATAGGATAGACTTTAAAGTATTGCTAAGGTTCAAAAATGCATATTTCTGGAAAGTAAAGACGTACCCATTGCTTAGAAATTGTAGAAATCTCAGTTTTAAACCAATCTTATTTTGTAGCCTTCCGGACAGGAAAGGGGGCTTTGATATATAAATAACTTTTAGCCCCTCTTCAATGAAAAGGTAACTTATAATGTTCCGCTTTCTTTTACTTCAGGCATCTAAATACTCAAAAGAGTGATTAGTCACTTAATATAACTATCTCTACATTACTCGGCAGTGAAAATTTTAGGGTGCTTACATAATATTCCATAGTAATACCTCATATTGATGTTGCACCATTTTTTTTTTATCCTGGCGTCTATATACGGTCTATCTGTGCTGATTTTGTTGTCATCCTAACCCTGCTGCTCAATAGCATTCCAAGTTATAATCTGTTTATGTCGTTTCGAATCACTGAACTGTCTTTATCGCACCACGTGAGATATTTGGATCGGAATGAATGATCTAGACTACCATCTTTCAGCGTTTACCTGATAGCGAAATTAGACAAAAGAAGAGAATGGTCAGGACTGAACTCTCGTTATCGATGTGTGCCACATATCTGTGGATTCATATATAATCTGGGTAGTGTTGTGACTTAGTATCTATTATCGCATGTCGAGAGTTCTGTTTTCTTGATTTCCGTGTTGTACAAAACATAATAATGAGTATTGGTCCTCTAATTGATTTTCACTGGAAATCATTTATACTTTGTTGTTCATCATTATTCATGCACCGTGCGTCGTTGGCACAGTGGTAGAATGCTCGTCAACCAACCATGTGGTCTAGCGTTCGATCCCCGGCTGACGCACTTCTTTACTTCTCTAAGCCGGTAATAAGGCTGGTAAAGAGGGAAGATTGGACATGAGAGCAGCAACCCCATCCCGTAGAAATGAACACCACTGCTACAGAAACTTCAAGTCTCTAGCTTGAAGCCCTGTGTTCCACTAGGAACGTAAAGAATTAATATGTAGTAGTATTCCTGCACCGATGTAGAGTTGATGACCTTATGTGGTTTATTAGACAATTACTTAGTAATGGCAAGTCCTGTGTTGTCATTATGTATTTGTGTGTCTTATGTAGCTTGGATTGTGAAGGAAAATTTATTGGTATATTTTACTCGACCCTAGGTTCCATTCTTGTGACTGATAGAGCTAAATTTCCCTGCGAATTCCTCCACTAAAATCTGGATAGTCCTTTCAGATGTCATTTTGACAACACATAAGTTTCCCCAAGTTTGTCATTATTTTGAAAAGCAGACACTTGTAGATCATCGGGGCTTTTCGAGTGAAACCATTACTTGTAGCGTTCAGTTATTTCTAGTTTATTATCACTGACTTCAGTTGGAGAACCATTGAAAACTGAGAAGCACTGGAAGGTTATTTCATCCTAGTCAAGGGACATTTCAGTGGTACGCACCCACGACCCCACCGGGGCTCGAACCCAAAACCTTTAGGCTACAAACCAAGCTCGTTGACCATTAAACCATTGGGTTAGACGGATACTCACCGATGACATTGGCTGGCAGTCGCGTTATATATTGCGGATAGCTAGGAGCTAGAATTGATAAGCCATCGGCTTCCGTCCCACCTGGTAACCTGACAGTCCTGGGTTCGATTGCTGGCGATGGGGTGATGAGTCCGTACTGTTGGAGAGTCCCAAGGTAGGATGCAACAACTGTCAGTACACCCTGGTTCCTAGTAGTTCTCTAAATGAAGTCTTTTCGCCCTCGAAAACTTGAAACCAATCAAATCCCTGCTAACTAACACTGATTAAGTTGAATACAGTATCTCTTCAATTTGTTTCAGGATGTGGCAGTTTTTTCGCAATTGCAGTCTTCAGCTTAGTTCAATCAGAGGTTTTTATACAGTGGCAAGAAAAACTTGTATTTTCTGCATTCTTTTTTGGTGCAGTTGTCTGCCTTGGATTTTCATGTTTATTTCACACTCTGTCTTGTCATTCAAAAACTATTGGGAGACTTTTCAACAGGTAATTTGATAATTAAGTAAGCTTTATGATTGTTATTGTTGTTGTTTGATAACCTAACATTAATTTACTAAAACGGAAATTAAAAAGTGGTTTAAATTGTCAGTTCCTGATATTTATTTTCTGTTGCATAGGAGTGTAAATATATGAGTTTGTTTGACTACTTCAGTCTGTTTTCTATTATCATAGTCTCATTGGCTTCATATTATCCTTCGTGTGCGTTATCCACCACAAAGGTGATGACTTGCGTAGGTGGAGTACTAGTCAGGTTATGTATGATCAGTGTGCTTTGGGATTATATCAAATGTATACAGTCACCATTTGCTTTAGTAACCGCGACGTTGTCTGAAGCAGAAGCTAAGCTGAGGACTTTATATATATATATATATATATATATATATATATATTATATATAAAGATCATTGTATGGAAACGCACTCCAATGCTGTTCGTAGATGTTCTTGAGTGTAGAGGAAACTATGGAGCTAATAAATGGATAGTAGTTAATACACGCGGAAAGTATTCATCAAGACATGGAAATGAGAACAGGCATTTCAGCGAAAAGATTTATTCCCCACTAATTCACTCGCTCAGCTGTGCAACCGTAATTATATTTCTGTGTGTGTTTGTACATTCAATCTGTCAAGCATAGCATAAAAGATGTAAAATAAATCACTTTAGAACATTGTTTATATTGTCAAACTATTTTGAAATAGTGAAGATCAATCAAATTGTAATCAAGACTGTCAAGTATACGATGAATATGAATCAATATTTTGGATCGTTAATTGATGAATTAGGAAATGTTATGGTCTACAGTCTTTGATTTATACTATTGTATGACTTGGTTAATTGTATTGATCTACCTAGTCTTCTTTTTATCTCAACACAAGTGACTAGTCAAATGCTCTTCTACTCTAATCGTACATATAATAGTATGTTTTACCTATTAATTAGTTCTTGTCACTGTAGGTAAGCTGTTGTTTTACATAATTCTGTGACTTGATTAGGTATTAAATACTAAAAGAGGTATCGCGATCCTTATTCACGATAAATTTAAATTAATCATAACATTCTGTGTCAACATTTTCATCTTTTCGTTGCATGAGTGACTCATTTGCTTAAGCTGTCGATTCAGTCAATTGGCCCTGAGTCCGAGTTCGCTCTACGTAGTTCAGCCTCGGAAACTGAGTAATATTGTAGTGAGAGCCGGCTGCAAACAAGCCAAAATTGTAGATAACAATATACGTTAATGTTTGCGTCCTGAATCCGCGTCATGAGAAAAGCAATAATAAAGCGTAACCTTGAGAAAATTACCGACCAATTACAGTGGACTTAACGTGTGGAAATATGATTCGCGGATATATGGCTTCATTTTCTGAGAAACGTTCAGAAAAGCAATAATGGAATAACCTTCAGCAAGAAAACAACCAATCAGAAGACGCCTCTTCTCCGCTGACAATAATGTAGATAAAAATCTATAATTATTGCTTGATTTTCTCAATAAACAATCTGTTGTCTAGCCTTTGTCTTTTGTCGTTACAATATCACCAACCCTCAGACAATAACTGTGTGGCTCATAATGAGGATTACATAAATAGATCTGTTCCAGAAGCTGAGTGATTTACTTCTCAATACACTTGGTCACTTTATAATCAGTGTATCATAATAAGCCTACGTATTCTTTACGTCTTGGTGTTATTTATCAACTCTTCTCAGCCTGATGAATTTATCGAAGAATATTCTGTGTTCGTCAATCAATCTTTAATTTTTAATCGGCATTTTGCAATGAATTTTCCATCAGTTGCATTCATGAGTTATTGACGCCTGTTTTTTCAACTCAGTCCCCGGAATAGGTCTTTCACGTTCTAAAGTATAAGCTACATTTATGTGAGAGCTGGTTAGACTACCTAGGCTGAAGCAAGCGGGATAGGGTTTAAACCAGGGACCTACTGACTGAAAGTAGAATACCTGACCCATATCTCCATATGTTACGCTACTGAGGCTAAACATTTTGATGTTACTTTATATGATTTCTTTTAAGCGTGTATCCAATCAAGTTTAAATGTCTTTTGTTTTTATATTTACAGATTGGACTATACTGGTATAGCGTTTCTAAATATAGGCTCGTTTATACCTTACTTATATTATTCCTTTTACTGCATGCTATGGGCTAGATTATTTTATATGATTCTGGTTGTCGTTCTCGGTACAGCATCAATTATCGTATCAATGCATCCATCTTTCACTACACCACGTTACCGTCCACTTCGAGCTGGTGTTTTCATGGGATTAGGCCTTTCAGCTCTTATTCCATGCATACATACAATAATATTAGATGGATTCCTTAATTCCATTTTTCAAGGCTCTTTAGGTTGGCTTGTTCTTATGGCGATTTTGTATTTAAGTGGAGCAACGATTTACGCTGTCCGTGTACCTGAAAGAATATTTCCTGGACGTTTCGATATTTGGGTAGGTTACACACAATACAGCGAACATTATTTCTTTGTTTTTACCATAAGCTATGTTTAAATTTTTAAAGTGGTCATTGATCCAGCTTATGGCTCGGTGGTTCAGTGGTAGAATTCTCAACAACCATACACTTGTTGCGAGGTTTGATTCCCAGATGGATACACTTTTAAACTTCACCAAGTTTACCAGTCGGCAATAACCCCGGTAAAGAGGGAGGGTTGGGTGTAAGGCTAGTTACTATACTCCGTAGAAACAACACCAGAGTCTCTACTGAAATTTCAAAACCCAAGCCTGAAGGTTTATATTCCACTCAAAGCGCAATGGAGGGGAAAGAAACTGATCTTATAACCAGTAGGTGTAATCTTAACTTATATCCTTGAATAACGTGAAAAGAACAGTGTTCGCAAGTTGAAGGGAATTGATTTTTTATATGGTAGGATTTTTATCGGTTGCACACACAACTTGGGCAAGAATAATAAAATATGTAAGTAATTACTGTGAAATAATTTCGGTATATTTTTTTCTGAATAGCCACTTGATTTTATAAGATTAAACTAAAACACCAAAACAAAGACCATGTGCAAATAATACAGGAAGTTAGCATGATAAATTACAATCAAAATAGAGCCATTCGTAAGTGTGCGGATTCCGACATAAGCAGAATCAGTTGTGTAGTCATGTGAAAAGTTCCATCATCGAACAGTTCTATTTTCGATATATAACACATAATGATACAGTGTTACTTATCTTCGAATGACTTGACTCTGTATACTACTGATTAATTGGTATGAGTAGTTGGATGCCGCTGACACCAACCAGTAGTACTGGTGTTTGCTACCTAAATATGAATGACGTGAAATACTGGGTGAGTGACCGTGTCGTTCACTTCAGTTAATGTCTGTGGCATGAATGGTTTCAATATAGAACTTTGCACAGATGTGCAGCACTTCGAGTCGCCACACTCCATGTAGCACACAAGGCAACGGAAGAAAGTTTAAAGAGATACAAAATAGTGACAGTAAACAGAGATATGAGGCAAAAAGAATAGTCATATCGAAGAACTATATAGTTTTATTGGGTATTATCAGTCACAAGGAGTGGATGCATCTGCGCCATTGACAACGATTTTTCGCCTTATCACTCCAGCCTTCATTGGTGTTTTTATCGTCCTGAGGACCCAAACCAGGAAGTCTACACCTTCCCACGTGGCTGGCTTAAACTAACTGTTGTGGATTCCACTGACTGATGAGGCCATGTTTTTGTTTGACCACCACTAGCTCTTTTCCAGCCTGTCCCTATGTCAGCTAACATTGCCCGTTGTCGAGTAAGGCGATGGCTAGGCTAAGCATGCGTAACACATGTCCTAACCACCTGAATCGATGCAGCTGTTTTACAACCTCGTCGATTGATTTCCACTCCCTCCTTACCTAGCACTCGAAACTCTAACCTCAATATTGCTCACCCTATTATACCATTTCAAACGGGAGATGGAATGTAGGCACCTATGATCAAAGACAGCTAGCCTTTTCATGTCTTGCACTCTCAATGGCCAGGTTTCACAGCTATAAAGGAGGACGGAGCGGACTACTGAGCAGTACACATGCCCTTTGGTTGATATCCAGTTGAATATCATGTCTACGCCAGAGACGGCGTAAGCTGGCATATGAAAACCTAGCCTTCTGTATTCGAGCTGAGATTTGGTTCAGTGATCAACCCGTCGGCACTGGCTGGTGGAACTTCCTAAATAACTGAAGTAGTCAACGTGCTCTACCACTTTTCTAAGCTACGAGTCAGTATAGTCCAGTCCTGTAACACCATCTTACATTTGACAGGAGCGAATCGCATGCCAAATATTCGCAGATTGCAGCTCAAGGTGTTCAAAAGACTCTGTATTTTGTCAACGTCTTCACCTAGGAGGAAGGACTAAATCATCTGTTGTTCTAAGTCAACGAAATTATTCCCTGGTAACAAGTCAATCCTTGAATCACGGAAGTCAATTAGAGTTAAGTCCACTAGTGTGTACACCTATTTTTTTCCTTCACGTTCCCAGTGGAACATAGGGCCTCAAGCTAGTGGCTTGAAGTTCCTGTAGCAGTGTTTAATTTTTACAGGATGGGGTTGCTAGCCTCATGTCAAACCTTTCCTCTTTACCAGCATTATTTCTGGCTTAGCGAGGTAAAGGAGTGCGTCGGTGGTCGGGGATCGAACCCCGGACCATGTACATGGTCGGCGAGCGTCCTAACCTCTCTGCCACCGTAGCACAGTGTACACCTATGGTGAAATTAAATAGAAATGGGACAGTGGGCTTCCCTGACAGACACCACTAGTTGTCACCACTTCAGATGACAACTCGCCGTAAGCTCTTACCTGGCTGCATGAGTTCGAGTAGAGTGCCTAGATCAGTGCAATGTATTTGCTTGGTATTCCCTTCACAGCCAAATATCTCCATAGTACCACTCGGTCGACATAATCAAATGCGGCCTTTAGGTGAAGAAATATAACGATTGTTGGACTCCGGTAAGAATACCAATGTTCCCTTCCAGAACCTGTCGAAGGGTGAAGATACGATCAATACATCCTCTTCCTGGTCTAAAGCCTGCCTGGTTCTCTCGTGTTTGTTCCTCCCGAGCACCACTTAGTCGTCTACGCATGACTATTGAGTCTACAACTTTAGATACCATATTAGTCAAGCTAATCTCCCTGTGATTATCACAGGAAGACTTATCTCCCTTCTTGTATATCGGGATAATCAATGACTTACAACAACCCGACGGGACGTCCTCTGATTCCCAGACTCTGCCTTATATCTTAGTTAACGCAGACAGTAAACTGTCTCCACCGTCCTTAAACACCTCTGGAGTCATTCCATCAGGTCCCTCAGCTCTGCCTCGTTTCAGACTAGTGACAGCTTTTGTAACCTCAGTTAGGGACAGTGAACCTGTGTCTATATTGCATTTAGGGAGCTGATGGATGCTACTTAAGTTGAGTGTGGCTGTAGGCCAGTTAAATTGCCCCTCAAAGTGTTCTTTCCAACGTTCCAGTCGTCTATCCTGGGAGATAATTATGGTGCCATTTCCCCAGAGATTGTTTCGCTTATCGTTCGCCTATTACCACCTGTTTCCCTGATAAGTCTAAATAGTTGTGTGGTGTTACCAATCGCCGATGCTTTTTCCATCTCTTTCGCTTTTATCACCCACCACTGTTCACGGTCGCTACGAAGGCCTTCTGTTAGTTTGCGGTTGAGCACCTTTTACTCGTCATAATCGGAGCTCGCTGGAATCAGTTTTCTTGCGTCAGTCAGTTCGAACAAGGTGGTAGAAATATAATGGCTCTTACTCTCTTTAGGTTTCAAGTTGTTAACAGCTTTTATAGCCGTGTCTACAGCTAACTGTACGTTGTGCCAGGCTACTTCAGGGAAAGTCCTGCTGTTGACCTCAGATACACGTTTCGCTATTTCCTCCTTAAATAGAGACTCAGTGTCTCAATCTAGTTGGGGACATAAGTGTTTTGCTGCCAGCAATTTCTTATATCCGTTTAGACGTAAGCATAAACGTGCGGGAACCAGGGCGTGATGAGAGCCTACGTACGTATTGCATAAGGAGTGGCAGTCTTCTATTAACCCTCGCCAGCGATACCCTATCGCTATGTGGTTTGTTTGAGTCCAGTGTTGATTTGGTGATGGAGGTTCCCAGGTTAATCAATGTCTCTTTGTGCCTAAAGTTAGTGGTGACCACAAACAGATGATAATCGGAACAGAACTGTAGAAGATGATCACCGTTGTCGGTTCGTCAGTAGGGAACTCTATACGTACTTCTCAGTTTGGCACAAGTTGGGCATTGAAGTCACCTGCTAAAACAACTGTATGTTAACGTTTTGCATTATGCAGCAAATTAGACAGTTTCTGGTGGAAGTCATCCTTCAATTCATTCAAACTGCAGTCTGTTGGGGCGTAAGAGGAGACTACGAAAAGACAACGACGGGTAACGCCGTCCTTCCTTTATCTAACGAATCCGTTCAGACGGGCCGCACACATACGACTATCTACTGTGGTCCAATCAAGAAGGGACATTTCCGCCCTAACACTCAATGCCATCCCTACATCTGTGAGTCCTCACAAATCAGCTGAGGAGTCTCCTAACACCCTTAAAGTGAATTTTGCAGATTCACCTTGTTGGCGGGGTGAGGTTAAGTGAATGACTATACTCGGGTCTTGTATGCGTGTCTTCGAAACACAACATACATCCGTGGCTCGAGATGCCAGAGTTCTAGCTAGTGATGCCTGTTGTCCGATTTGGGAAACACCTTCCTGCTGTTACATCCCTGTTCCCCAGCAGTACGACTTCGACAATAGATCCCCAGCATTATTATTATTATTGTTTCCTTTAATTCCTAGAGGAACATAGGGCTTCAGCCGTGTGTCTCCATTGCGTTCGGTTCTCTGCTAGAGTCTTCACCTGGCTCCAAGTCTGCCCACACGTTTTCATCTCCTCTTCACATGACCTCCTCCAAGTCACCCTTGCACTGACGACCAACTCGCCGCTTCCCTTTCGGGTTCCACTCGAGGGCTTGTCTAGTGATGTCACTTGATGGTTTCCTCAGAGTATGGCCAATCCATCTCCATTTCTTCCTGCCTATTTGTTTCACAATCGGTTCCTGGTTGGTTCGCTCATTGCCAGAGATCTCTGTTGCTGATCTTTTCTAGCCATCTGATCTTGAGTATTGAGCGAAGACAACTGTTAATGAAGGTCTGTAGTTTGTTTGAGGTGCTCTTTATGATGCACCAAGTCTCTGATCCGTATAGTAGCAGGACTGACTTCACATTGGAGTTGAAAATCCGGATCTTATTTTTGATGCTAAGTGTTGTTGACCTCCACACAGACTTGAGAGTAGTGAAAGCTTGTCTTGCTTTTCCGATTCTTGCTTTGATATCCTCGTCAGTTCCGCCTGTAGTTGAAACGATGCTTCCCAGGTAGGTAAAAGAGGTTGTTTCTTTCAGGTTCCTCCCATTTATGCTGATTGTTGTCTGTTGTTGTTGTTGCTGTTGGTGGTGTTGCCCAGGAATCTTCATCACCTCTGTTTTCTCTATGTTCACCTGAAGTCCTATCTTTGATGCTTCTTCTGCCAACTTGTTGCTTTTCACTTGTATATCTTCCAGTTTGTGGGAAATCAGACATATATCATTGGCGAAGTCCAGATCCTCCAAGTTTTTTGTGTGAGTCCATTTTATGCCTGTTTCCTCATTCCCCACTGTCTGTCGCATTATCCAATCTACTGCAATCAGGAAAATCATTGGCGATAGTAGGCAGCCTTGTCTTACTCCTGTCCTCACTTCGAAGGATTCCGTAAGTTTCCCGTTGTGGATTACTTGGCATGCAGCATTGTCATACAACTGTTGGATGAGATGTATAATTGTCGGTGGCACCCCTTGGTAGTAGCGAAGTAGTTTCCAAGTCACCTCTCGATCGACGCTGTCAAAGGCCTTTTCAAAGTCGATGGAGTTGAGATAGAGAGGTGACTGCCATTCCAAGCTTTGTTCAATGATGATCCTTAGTGTGGCGATTTGATCAATACATGACTTGTTTCTCCTGAATCCAGCCTGTTTCGGTCGAAGTTTTTCATCCAGGGCATGTTTGATTCTCTCCAGGATGATGCGGCTTAGTATTTTGCTTGGGATGGACAGGAGCATAATTCCGCGCCAATTCTTGCATTGACTTAGGTCTCCTTTCTTTGGTAGTTTGAATAAGTATCCTTTCTTCCAATCTTCAGGTACTTTGCCTTCTTTCCACACCTTCTCCAGTAGTGGCGTCATCAAGTCCGCTGTTGTCTCTGGGTCCACTTTCAATGCCTCTGCTGGGATTCCATCTGGTCCTGTCGCTTTTCCAGCTTTTAGCATCTTGATTGTTTTCAGGACTTCTGTTCTCGTCGTGGGGTTGGTGTTCACTGGTAGTTGTGCTTCCGTTGTTGGTATTGTTGGGCGCGTTGTAGGTAGCGGTCAATTTAGAAGTCTTTTGAAATGTTCAGCCAGTGTTTCCTTTGCTCCACTTCTTTGATGATTGACTTTGCATTGTCATCCTTCACTGGCGTTATTTGTGTCGAACTTTTCCCCGAAAGGTACCTAGTTGTTTGGTAGAGTGTTGCGAGGTCTCCTTTGCCTGCAGCTTGTTCTGCTTCACTTGCCATGGCTTCATAATACTTTCTTTTGTCTTCCCTGGCACTCTTCTTTACTCTTTTGTTCAGTGTATTGTAGCTTGCATTCAACTCCTGTTTTTGTTGCTCGTTGGTGCACTGGATAACTTTTTGTTTCACCATTCTACTCTCTCCTATTAGTCTCCAAGTGTCCGTAGTGAGTCACTCTTTATCCTGTCTCTTCTTTCTGCCTATAACTTCCATGCAGGTTTGATTTCACACCGCTTTCAGGTTGTCCCATTGCTTTTCAACGATGGTCTCTTCGCTAGTGTTGATTTGTGTCTTGGCTTTGTCCTTTATGCTTGCAGTGAAGATGTCCTTTGTATCCTGGTCCTTCAGTTTTTGAGTATTGAACTTGGCTTGTGGTCTATCTGCAGCTCCTGTTTCTCTGAAGGCTTTCAGCTTGATTTGGATTGTCCCTTGTACGAGATAGTGGTCTGAGCCAACGTCTGCTCCTCTTCTTATTTTTGTGTCCAGAAGGCTAAGCCTCCAATTCCTTGAGATTGAGATGAAGTCAATTTGATTTTTGGTTCTCCCGTCTGGTGACACCCATGTAGCCTTGTGGATATCTTTGTGTTTGTATACGCTGCCACCAATCACTAGTTCATTGAAGGCGCAGAAGTCAGTGAAGAATTCTCCATTTTCGTTCATCTCTCCGAGAACTTCTTTACCCTTGATGAGTTCCCTTCCTGTGTTGTCTGGTCCCAGTTTGGCGTTCATGTCTCCCATTAGTATTTTAATGTCATGATTGTCCATTGTTGCCTGTAGTTGTCTGTAGAATTCTTCTTTCTTTTGGAGGTCTGCGTTGTTTGTGGGTGCATAGCATTGTATAACTGACACTTTCCTTCCTTTGGAGTTGAATCTGGCTGTCATTATCCTGGGCGAGATCGCCTACCATTGCATGAGGGCCTTCGTTGCCGTTGGTGACATCATGATAGCAACGCCCTCGGTGTGCGTGTGGTTGTCTTCTGGGTGACCGAAGTAGATCACTGACTCTCCCGTTGACAATTTGGTCAGTCCATTCCCGTTCCATCTGCTTTTACATATTCCCAGTACTTGAATCCTGTATCAAAATAAAAGTGGTCAATACCTCCATAACTTCATCTCGTTTGCGATCTGGGCAGCTTTGCCAATCTCGTACATGGTGCGGACGTTCCATGTCCCCACACAGACTTTTTCTTTTGGCGCAAGGAGATTCATCGTACTAAAGTTTCTGTAGCAGCTTTGTTTACATGGTGGGGTTGCTAGCCTCACGCCTGAGAGGGGGGTTGTTACATTAAAATATAGTTTACAGAGAAGCGACCTTCTGGGTTGCTCCCCTTAAAACCAGGAAAACAAGGAGTAAAACAATCAGAACAACACCAGCAGAGGAAAATAATTCACAACAGGAAGGGCAACAAGCGACAACAACAATGAAAAAAACCTTAGCAGTAGTATCAAAGTCAGATACAGTTAACAAAAATGATATCAAAATCATTGACTCACTGACTTGAGCGAACTTTAATTTGTAGATCCATCAATATATACAATTATAATTACAATTACAGTTAGTGTTAGTCAGTTCCAAAATGGCAATCAGATAGTTATAGGTATTATCCAACAACAATATTATATCCACAGATTCAGTGTTTGAAAAGCAAATAGTCACACTACTTTCCGAAAGTTCTTGGCGAGAAATTCCACAGAAATAAGACTTTTATGATACTACGTGAATGTAGCATAGTAATCGAAAAGCGCGTCAAGGTCCACCCCAGCATAGTGTAAAAAAATTCTTACACTATGCCGGTAACTGCTTTTAATCTATTGGCTATCCTAACAGCCTTCCTGGCATGGTAGGTACTGCAGGAACAATAGTTCCATCCAGTGTATGCAAGCCCGACCACCACTTCAAGATAGCAGCTATCAGTCGGGTCACCACAACTAGGTCCATTTCCACACTTTATATGCAAAAGAGGTTGATATGTCAGTTGAAGAACTTTTAGTCATTAGGTGTGAAGCTTAAACTTTATTCCACTCACTGATGTTTTCGCATATAGGCAACATAATTAAACTTAACAAACACATCCACATTGTTATTTGGGTAACGTATGAATAGTTTCAATCGTAAACTTGATGGGTCTCATAAAATGAATGCCTTTACATCTTCATAATAATACCATTATTATTATTATTATTACTGGTTTTCTCTCTCTATTTCTCTTTTGTAGTTTCAAAGTCATCAAATATTTCATGTTTTTGTTGTGGCTGCTGCCTTAGTTCATTATCATGGTCTAGTTAAACTGGCCGATTATCGTTTAACTGTCGGTGATTGTAAACCTGTTGGATTAAGCTTCTATACAGATGAATTTAAAGTTCTTGGATTGAATATATTCTCAGAAACTGTTTAATCAGTAATATCAATAATTATTGTGTATTTATTTTAAAAAAATGTAACTTGACCTTTTTTAGACGTGAATAATTTATTATTCTACGGCCCTATTAATTTTGCATATATAAAAGCCTAGAACTTAGTGATTCATTTATATTATATATATATATATATATATATATATATAATACATTAAAAATGAGCAACATTTATTTCCCAATGCTTTTAATTTCAACAAGATTGTTGTTTTATTATCCTTATTTTGTTTTTCTTAATAGATAATCATTATTGTGTAACATTTCACTTTATATTCAACCTGTACATCAGTTCTTTGCTTCTTTCACCCTCTATCTTCTGTTAGAAGGTTATGTGTATAGTGTTTATAGTTGTATTTATTTCATGCTTAAGTCAACTCAATTCACTAATCTGTTTTAATACACTGAAATTGAAAGAAACTGGGAGAAATCATTATTATTATTATTATTATACTTGGTCCTCTCCCATCCTTTTCAACTGACTCTATGATTGCCTACCCACTGTTATTACTTCTTCTTCTTCTCCTTCTTCACATTATCTCCCCCCGTATCACTCTCGGATCCACCACACTTCCTATATGTGTTCAACTGAACCGTTTTCTGTGTGGTATCTGTTTAGGGTATGTTCAATCCAACCAATGAATTGGGGCGCGGGGGTAGAGGTGTAGTGGCGTGGAAAAGAAAAGTGGAGCGTATAAAGAAAGAAAAAAACTTATTCACTGACATTAGCTTTCTTTTAATTTTCTCTTTTTGAAAAAATTACTTCAGTGTGATGTGTAGGCAACTGTAGTCAAAGTTTCAAAAGTGTAATTCACCAAACATGTCTATAATTATTTTCCTGTTTTGTATTTTTTTTTAATTCCTTCACGTTCCCAATGGAACATAGGGCTTCAAGCTAGAGGCTTAACCAGCTTTTTTATTACTGGCTTAGCGAGGTAAAGGAGTGCTTCGGCCGGGGATAGAACCCCGGACTGTGTGCATGGTCGGCGAGCGTCCTAACCGCTGTGCCACTGACGCACTTCATGTATTTTATAACTTTAGTAAATATATACGTTTATATAATCTTTTGTGGATTGACTCATCCTCTTTGTTTTCTGTATAATATTTCGAAGTATGTCACTGACGTCCTGAATAGCTTCATCCCCTTATGTCTTTTAATATTATTATTATTATTATTATTATTATAACACCTTATTATTTAATTAGTCGTAAACTTATCCTTTTATTAGAATTACTTGTATGCATTAATTTTATTATCTTAATTAATGTATCCCTTCCATGAATTTACACGTTTTCATAATTGAAACTTTTGAAGGCTGAACACAAAACGTCTTCTTTGAAACAAAGCAAACGTTTTTTTTTCTCGACTATGTATTCTCCTTTGGGAATAAAGTTGTTTGGATACGTTTGCGTTAGTGTTGGGTTATGGAGTAAGTGTAGGTTGTGTAGAAGAATAATAAATACTCTAAGGGAATCAACGTTCACAAAGTCATTGTAGTATAGTAAATTAACTAAAGGATTCTTTTTCTCCATTCTTAATTCCTTAGGTGTTTTGCGAATGGAACATAGACCTTCAAACTTTGAAGTTTGAGTAACAGTGGACATGGCCATTGAGAGTGGAGGACATGAAAAGGCTAGCGGTCTTTGATCATAGGTGCCTACATTCCATCTCCCGTGTGAAATGGTATAATGGGGTGAGCAATATTGAGGTTAAGTATCGAGTGCTAGGTAAGGAGGGAGAGGAAATCAATCGACGAGGTTGTAAAACAGCTGCATCGATTCAGGTGGTTAGGACATGTGTTACGCATGCTTAGCCTAGCCATCGCCTTACTCGACAACGGGCAATGTTAGCTGACATAGGGTCAGACTGGAAAAGAGCTAGTGGTGGTCAAACAAAAACATGACCTCATCAGTCAGTGGAATCCACAACAGTTAGTTTAAGCCAGCCACGTGGGAAGGTGTAGACTTCCTGGTTTGGGTCCTCAGGACGATAAACACCAATGAAGGCTGGAGTGATAAGGCGAAAAATCGTTGTCAATGGCGCAGATGCATCCACTCCTTGTGACTGATAATACCCAATAAAACTATATTGTTCTTCGATATGATTATTCTTTTTGCCTCATATCTCTGTTTACTGTCACTACTTTGTATCTCTTTAAACTTTCTTCCGTTGCCTTGTGTGCTACATGGAGTGTGGCGACTCGAAGTGCTGCACATCTGTGCAAAGTTCTATGTTGAAACCAGTCAGCAATAATGATATTTGGTTTTGATTTTTACAGACCCGGGTTACTGACTTCACACTGAACAACCGTTTCTTCTATTTTGTTTTCGACTTACTACTGGATAGTAAACTAGGCATCTTTATTGTGAGTCATTCGCAGCTGACATACTCTTTACCATTGAAATACAGACGTACTATAAGATTAAACGGATAAATTCTTATTGATATTTTTATGTAACAAGTACTTTCATTTATTCAGAAACAGTTCGTTTCATTTAGAACACAGATTGAATTGAAAGGGAACTTTCGTACCGTAATATTCTTAATTTTGTTTATAATATTCCGATGATATTTGTTGATAGCTTACCATTTTTCATCTATGGGAATAGACGTCTTTTAATCACCTTTTCATTTCTTAGGGAATATCGGAATTTTCTACAGACCATATGAACATTTTTGTTTGTATGGTATTAAAATAGTTGTGTGTTTTTTTCATTAGGAGACTTAATGTAGTAAATCAAAGTTTATTTAATCACTTAGTTTATTTCATGTGATGCTGTGACTCATTGATTTAGATGCTTAACTTCTAAATAGTCAGTGACCGGTTAGAACCTGGTTCCACCTACGGAGGTTTGAACGGTAAGGTAGTATTATCATTAACCCTCACACAGTAGATGATGGGGTGCATGGAATCGCAAGTGATCGTTGATTAACGCAAGGAATAAGAATAATAAGGTTATCTTGAGCAGTGAACTAGGCTATCAGTTTTTCTTCTTCTAGTTTAGACAGCATTATTATTTATTATTTGAACTCCAAACTACGATCCGTCCTTATTGTGTGAAGGCTAGTGATATTAACCAGGTTGAAGTGGGTGATGAGGGATTCGAACCCGTGACCATCTGACTATAACTGCATTGTTTAAAGCAGTGAATCACGTCTCCGCTTATTTTGAACGTTATAATGGTGGAGCGCATGCATATAGCTTATATCATTCTTCGAGCCTTACACGCAAGCACACTTGGTTCGCGTACCATCTCATCGTTTTTTAGACAGATTATACATTAGAATTGTTTCTATGCTTGCTTAGAAATGAATAAGGACTTTAAAGAAAAAGGCATTTTCATAAATCTGATGAGAAACTTCAATTTCTCTTTTGTACGCATTACTCTACATTTTGTAAAAACA